GATCCCAACTATCTGCTAAGATAAGTTTTCATGTACTATGCTTAAAAAAAACATTATAAAGTTTAAAAGTGTTTAGGTACTACCCCTTTTACCTTTGGCATTGAAATCATTGGCCATGCATAGAAGATGCTTTCGAATTTTACTGTTACATTCTCGATGAAAATTTCTGCATTCTTCATCATCTCTAATTTGTCTGGAGTTGTCGTGAACAGAGACTGGAGATCGATTGAGCAGTTGCTTAACGATCTCAGTTAACGTGACGGCAAGGGTGGTTTCTCTGTTGGTCAGTGGTAGAGTTCCTCTTAAAGGGAATGTCGCGTTCCCAGGCTAAAGCAGTCCTTGCATATAGAATAGTAAGAAAAAAAAATGGAATACTTAATGAGCTTAGAAAATTGTACTGAAAATGGCTACGATTTTCTTGTCTGAAGTATTTTAATATGGTTTTGATATATCCCCGATTTCCCTTTTAGTTCGTATCCTCGCGTTTTTATTAACACAGTGTATGAGCTCGGACTCGGGTTAGGGGATGAATAATGCAGAATAAAATATGTAACATCGCCTGGGGGCGAGACGGTTAGAATAAACGGGCGTTTGAAATATATGCGCGACCGGTCAAAGGGATGAGGCTCGATCGGATCGATCGAGGTCCGCGACTGTTGTTTCTCCGCCCAAAGAGAAACCGAGGATTCGGTAGCCGTGCCAGTTGCATTAGATTCAAAGGATTTTTTATGACCGCCGTCGATCGTTTCTCGTTTTATAAAAGTTGCATGAACCCGGGGTGGAATTTGAAATTCCGCGATTATGCAGCCCAGCGGCCGTTCTAAGGGTGTCGTTACGGTCGCCCCGGCGGTGTCCAGGGGAGCGGCTCGCCCCGAGCCAAAAATCCGTTCGGTTATTATTCAAAACTATATCGACTTTGATTAATGGCTCGCTCGCCTTAATCGCTGCGGGTAATTTGAGTTTCTGAATGTCGATATAAAGTTAGACTAGACCGATCGTTTACCATATTTATCTCTTACTTACGACACGCAAAATTATTTCGATTCAATGAAAGCGTACGTAGTTGAAATTGAAACTGTTCACAACTAGAATATTTAAGAACGATTTATCCATGGTCGAGTGTCCGGCCGAATCGATTATTATTCATGCTTGTTCCCGTTGATTAATGGTCGTTGAAACAGTCGGAGAGGATTCGAGGGGATGGCTAAAACGGAAGTCCTGAAAGCTGTCACAGCCGAGACAGCCGCCAAGACATAGAATTAATCGTCATTAGGCGCCCCGCGTCGACTGACTCGCGGTGTCAGCCATGGAACAGGGCTCCCCTGTCACCCTCTTATCATTAATAACCTACCCGTGCCATCGACTTTATCGACTTTTGAACACCCTTAATCCGTCGTCGTTTGATTTTCATTTAGTCTTTCCTTCGAATCTTCAGGCTAACAGACTGGGTGGGTTCAATGAAGTCTGATTGACTTTCATTCCAAGGTTTATGGTATAATAAAAGTTGCTCAAAGATTGATTGTTCTTCTGTTTGTCTTTCGCAGTCCCTTGCTTTCCCATGATTCATCTTTACAGTGGTACTGTACTATCCCTGGCAAAATATTTTTGTTCGATACAATAATACGTCTCTTAAATAATAAGAATTGTCTTATACGTTTTATTATACACATTAAATATCGAACGTTGAAGCTCAGTCATCATATAGAGTCATTTTATTATACGTATTATTACTACGACCTAAATCTTCCTTAGGTCGTTAACGGTGATTAAGCTTCGGTCTAAAAATTTTAATTCATGGGGAACGGTGCCCTTGTGAATAATTGGGAACTTGGCCGAATGACGGTGGCACCGTTACGCGCATAACTCCGCCGATTATTAATATCGCGTAATTATTATTACAATCGTTGGCTTTTCTCGTGGCAACCCCGCGGTGGCGAGGGTTGGAACCGGTCCCGGATCCCGAGTATTTAATGAAGCAGCCCTTACATGGGTCTGTTCCCAGGGGTGGCAAGGTCTTGCCTTGCCGTTTCTCTGTCGTTATTACTCAGCAGACTGACGTCACTGTTTATATAATTATACTTCGTTCTCCAGAGATACGAGCTGTATTGTATTGCCGTAACTTCCTTTGTCTCTGACGTGATAGGTTCACAATCTAATAGGTTTGCAATAATTCCTGTCTTTATATTTTATCACAAATTGTTGGATTATTTAACTTCAAATATACAATGTTATCAAAAATGATCCAGAGGACCTAGACCAGATGTCAAACATAAACAATGTTTCATGGTACGCAGAACCGATATCCCTTTGTCGTCGGGTAACGGTTTGATTTAGACTTCGTAATCTGTTCCTCAGTTTCCTGTAGCAATCTGGAGAGTAAAGATAGTCCTTCCTCGTGCATGACAAATAATAAAGAAAATAATTAAATTTAATTCACTGCGTTCATATTTTATTTATCTACCTATTTCCAATACAAATGAATCGAGTCTGAGTGGATTTAAAAGTTCGTTTGATCACTCATATTCTCCTCCTCTAATTGTTAAAACACTTACTCGTTAATTATTCTTTCTATCTTCCCCAACATTTTCTTAAACTGAACACACATCTGCCTTATCTGGCAGGATAAAATAAGAAGAAGAAAATGATCGTTTTCCATTATAATAAAGTACAAAGGCTGTTTGCCTATCTACGCGCTATATCTCCCTTAACGACGAGTTCCTGGTGAAACTGTGATACAGCCGCAATATTAATAGGGAGCATACCGCCCCCTCGCATACACGCACGCGCTGGATCCCAGCCCTGCAGACAAATCCCAAGCTAATGTTGTTAGCCGGTCCTACGGGATTCGTGTGCCTCAGACGAACAGACAATGCGTCGAGTGGATTCGTAAAGCCCGGATAAACACTCTAATATCCGGAAGATCGGACGTTAGGTCTGTCTCGGGTCTCCTCTATTTTCGGCTCGATCAATTAACTTCATCTAAAGTACGGATCGATCGGGTTAGGATTGAGATAAGGGTTCGCCTCATGTCTCTGTTCACCGATAGATTAATATCCTATGACGCAGAGTCTCAATTATTTTATGTAATTGTGTAGATATTTATTTGTTTTACGATCTCTATGAAGAAGCTTCAGTATTCTAATTGTGAACGTATCGCATAATAAGTTCATGACGCAAAGGGAAGTTCGAGCATCGAGAGTACAATTTTCGACGAGCAATTAATAATAAATTCAGAGCATAGACCAGGGGCTCACGTTCGAAACGGCACGTCCGATGGACGAGGGTCAATTAAATGCCATTAGCGTCGCTGGATTTTGGCCAATCCCCGTAACGAGGCTAACGCACGGAGGATACCGAAACGGATAATACTAGTCGTGTAAACCCTCCGGTTTGATCCCTGGACATTCGTGGATTCGTAATCCGATTTCGTCTCCGTCTCCTAGAACATTAATTTTTATGGGCAACCGATATGAGATATCCAAGTCTGATCTGACAGTCTTCAGGACGTGGAGTAAAATCTGATTCGTAATCGGGGAGACTGACAAACGTAAAATAATTTATTTAACACTAGAAAGACTGAAACTTAGCAAGTCAAAATGACTGCATTGTGAAAGAATAATGTGTAAAGAAATTTGTCTAAAATTAATTTTTAATATTTTTTATATTATTTACAGTCATATAACAAGTTATTAGTAAATGTTAACAATAAAAAAAATTTACTTTACTTGGGAAAAAAAATAATTTATGCATTATTATTTGTACATTTGCCCAAAAGCAGTCAAAATGACTTCCTTCGGTAATCTAGTGTTAATCTCACGGCGACTGGTCGCATTCATTTATGAGATCGAACACTAATAGAGAATGTTAAATAATATATTAATCAAATGTATTTTTTGCTTGTCGATACGAGATAATTCATGGTACGTATCGTCGAACAAAAGATGATTCACACGTTTCTATTTATATAAATACTGGCCATCGGTCCGAACAATGAACTTTATCTCAATGTAGTTAGCCGATGATCAAGGGTACACGAGAATAGAGAGGCTATTAATAATTGCAGGCTATCTCAACGTGTGACTCAGTGTGAGCTTGTGCTCGTTATCGCGAATTGAAGTAGGAAGATGGTAGAAAAGGAGGAGTCGGAGGTCGCGTCGACTAACGTTACGGTCTATCTTTACATCCTATCCTGGCTAATGGTCGTCTCAGGAGCCGCTAATACGTCGTAAGTACCACAACTCCCATAATCGTAACTGCAGTTGTCTCTTCCGGAGGCACGAGGCTTCCGTTCCGGGAGTTAACGCGTTAAACGATCTCCCGTTGGGAATCGCGAGCCAAGTGTGAGTCTTACGTCGATAGAAGGTATTAATGGTTTCGTGTAAAAAATGAATTTTATATTCAAAACGTTGAGACGAGGCTCGTGTCAGTCGATCTTCTGATCGAGGATAACAGTTTTGAAAAGAGCATCGATTTTCGTAGATACCAAAAGTAAGAATAGAAAATGAAGCACGCGTGTTTCCACCCTTCAACCCCTATTCATAAACGCGTTAGAGTCAGTGTATTCGTTCGGAGGCACGGAGCGTCGGTCGCATCGATCAACCGTCCTCGAGAGTCGAATAATCGACGTCGGATGCATCGATGCAACCCCCCCTTTTTTTCACCGACCCTTTCGAGCACACACAAAGCGGGAGCCGTTGCGAAGTCAGCTCACGTTGTTCCCCGAGTATCGGCCGACGCGATATTTCACCGTTATGTTTAATAATTCGCAGACAGTCCGATGGAGCCATCGGCAGCCCCTCCCGCGCGCTTCGAGCTTTTTCGGCTTTATTTCTTGCCGTGTCGCGGCGAGAATGACGTAGTCGCCATAAGTTTTCGCGGCGCGTGAGCCACTTCAACTATGAAATGAACTACGTGCCACTGTTACGGGATCTCACGAAACCGGCAGCTCTTCCTTTTCTCTCACCGTCAAGACTTGTCCTTAATTATTTTTTAAGCAGGAGACGTGTTCATAATTCCTGAGTTATAAAAAGATTTCTCGCGTCAAGTTTAAAGTGCCGAAGAAAGCACGAACTGCTGTGAATACGAATCGATTCGTCCAATTCCAACTTGCTCGAAAGAAATTTCCTTTTTGAAGCTTGATAGGATTTCCAGCAGGCAATTTGCTGGTAGGACAAGACTGGTTGGCAACGGGCAAACCATACCTGGTCGGGATCGGCTGGCAAAAAGCATACAGAGACATTTCCCAGGTGTTCCCGTCTACGAGCTCGGCATTCCGAGCGTATCCGAGCTGGTTGTACCCAATTTCTGCGTGTTCCTCGGTTCCCCGCTACGAGATATTGCGACCCAGCCCTCTCGACCGATTCGTATCACCGCGAGGGGAGAGCCGCTGGGAATACAAGTTTCGGATTCCCGTTAACAGTAGTTTTACGATCCCAAGTTCCACTTCTATGAATATTAACCTTGGCTTCCTTAACCGTACTCGATTACCTAAACCCCTCGCGTGCAACTATACATATGAAAGCCTGTGTCGGATTCTGTTTTTACGCTACATCTTTTCTACGAGTTTCTACGAATTATTGTAATTAACCTTTTGTACTCGAACGGCGCCGCTACGGCGCCCGGCACGAAGACTAATTGCAAACTGTAATATTTAACAGATTTTGTTGTATTCAATAAAAATGAAAAAATTGGTAAAATTTTATTATTTATATACGTTTTTTTGGATATAAAATGATTTGAAGTACCCCTAAAGTTCTTCTCTAATATAGCCAAAATCGTTTCGAGTTGCTGGTTCGCCCGAGCGCAAAAGGCCTCCAGTGCAAAGGGTTAATCTCTACGTAATTGCAAAAGCAAACACTGAAATTATATTGTAGATTAATATTTGAGTTGATGTTATTGGTACTGCTCCGTGATACATGATCTTCGTTTCGTATCCGTTTAAATCAACGTGACTCAGCTCGTACTTGACCTACCATCATTATCACTGTGCTTTATCACGATCCATTCGCCAAGGAATATTGTAAGCAAACAAGCCTGATCAGCCTGGAAACGAGATCCTCGCGTTCACGGGGGTAATTTGCCGCGGACAACGGCGGCGGTGGTCGTTCGAGGGAATTACGCCATCCGTATTCATCGCGTAGGACTCCGTCTGCGATCCGTCCGGCAGAGAATTACCGCACGCGAGCGGAGCCGGCCCCGCACGGATCAGATCTGTAGACGACGGGGGGTTGCTCTGGTTAATGGGAATTCGTCGCCAATTTCTCGTACGGATTCGTTCCTACGAACGTGACGCGAATTCTTTTTTTCTTACTGCACTACTGCACGATTTAAATCTCCACGGAAATCAATTGACGAGTCTCACTTCTCAAACACGTTTATTCAGAATCCAGAGTAAAATTATATTGTAGGATGAATCGACAGACGAATTGTTTTTTCAGTAGTACGAGTCAACGAAAGGGTCGACTAGAGTTGCATTAAAACGAAGAGAGCGTTTCGGAATAAGATTCGGGTTAATTTACGAGGCAGTTCGGATGCACGCACGTCGTCCAACGATTTATAGAGCTGTATCCACCCCCGCGCAAGGCTCGTCGTATTGATAGAAATTTAGGCGGACTTCGGGAACGACCGAGAGGCTGTTGCGTGTCCCGCAATCAGCTTGATGCGCGATTGTCTTGGAAACGATCTCATTTATCTTAGAGTATTCCGGCAGCCGGGTTGTACCGCGTTGCGAAATTAATCAGACGGCTCCAGACGCGCCTTTGTCGGGTGCCTCGTCGAGGCCTCGAGATAGATTAACAAATATGGTTCGCGTCTACAGCCCCTTCGCGCGTGTCTCATTCAATGAAACTCAAAATCATCCAGGCTCCTTTGAAACGTGTAACAACATCGAGAAACACCATTTTTCTATCTCATTGTTCGACGAAATTTTTTACTTTATTACTCGATCCAATTTTTAGTACGAAGTTAATTATAAAAGCATACGAGGTTACATTTACATCGAAAAAAAAAGAATCCCAGGAACCGGATGAGGGCGGCTGGGATTTTATAAATCGGGAAGCTCGGCGAAAATTGTGGGAACGGAAAATGCAAATTTTTTTTACTGATGGTGTGTCGCGCGGAATTCCCTGCTTTATTACTTCACCCTTCGCTCCGTCGACGGACCCAGGGCGTAAAAAACAGCTAGGGAAAAAATAGAGAGGAGGATACACGTGGATCATTCCACTGCTTGTTCCTTCTCCATTCGTACACTGTCGTTCATAAGTTAATAGGTTTGATAAATTGCGCGAAAGTAGTGAACGAGCAAACATTATTCGCGCTTCTCGTTCCAATCGTTACGACACGTTGTGTATTCAATTTTTTACGAACCAGCGGATTAAATACCTTGTACGGAGTTTGACAAATAGACATTCTTATCGGAATTCTTTTTAATCGTAAAATCCAAGTACAATTTTTATCGAGCAGTATTTCTTGCGCGTGTTCACATCTGCGAAACTGAGTGAGTGAATAAACATTATGTTTGAGTAACTTATGGATGACAGTGTACGCTTATTCTCGGACGGTTTTCGTTCCGAGGATTGTACTCTCCGACAATGGACCGAAGTTTCGATTCTGTCTCTGTCGGTTCCTTTTTCCTCTCCCATTGGCAGAGGAACGGGCCAGTTTCTGTTCCCTCCGAGCCATCGACAGCGGAAAAAGTTTCACGTCGCTCGGCGAAACTTTCGCATTGTCTCGAGCTACGGTTTTGTTTCAACCGAGGCACGTCCGAGAACCGCGGTTATCGTTCGAATTACCTGAAGCCGGGGGACGAAACATATTTTTTCGCAGTTGCCCACCGTTTTTTTCGGCTACCATTGTCCTCCTGACGCGAGACGTCGCGACGCCCGTCCGCTAGACAGAGGCCTTTTCCATTCGTCGACTCAATTTACCCAGGAACGAATTCTTCCCCGGACGGGCTTCAGAAAATCGTTTTAATTACATCTTTCCGGATAGTCTCCTCATTGTCTCGGACCCTAATCGCGTTGTCCCGGAAAAGCCAGTTGAGTGAAATTTTCATCAAAGTGAAGGAGAATCTCTACTTGTACAGCTCCAGTCGAGGAGATAATTGAATAAAATAAAGAGGACTAAAAGTTCTTATTATACAAGGAAAATCGACGAGAATATTACCTGAAATAATAAATTTATATCCTGGAAATAAGACGAACTATTTGTTCGCACTGCATAAATTTCGAGTAGGGTAAATCGGATTGCTTTTGTGCGAAAATAACGCGTTTGCGTCTCTCGGGAGCGGTCGTTGCAAACAATGATTTTGTAACTCGTCCAGGATGGCGGTGGAGTTCGATAGACGAGCGTGTATGTAGTCCGGTGGCGAAGTTAGCCGTGTTAAAGCTCGCCCCTGCGCGATGGACTATACCTCTAGTCATTATGAACTGAACGCGACTCCATTTCACTGCTAAACCTAACCCGAGAAGGAGAGTCGGGGTTGAAATTATCGGAGCACACGGATTTTGACGCGTTCATGTTAAGGATGTATTGGCTATACAGTCAATCCCAAAAGTTTATGTACCTTAGAAAAACGCATTTCCTATAATTAAAAAGAAATCAGATGTCGGAAGAATAATGCTAATAATAAATAGCTACGTGCTAAAAAGTATAGAAGGAAATATCCAATTAAGTATTGACGCTGACGAAAAATTATTTTTTTCAAAATTGCGAAAAATGCTTCAAATAAAAGTTGTTTTCCTTCTAACTTTGATGTTTAACGAGTTACGTATGATTATTTGGCATTTTATTGATGTTGACAAAATCCGACCATCCCAGCGTCGAAACGGCGAACTTTTGGCAAAAAATTTCATTTTTCCTTAATAACTCCTAAACCGTTGCACATACGGAAAAATTGCATAGGACCTTTCTTGTAGAGGACGACGAGATCTACAATTTCCATGTAAAAGTTTTTCGCTAGCATTAATATTTAACGAGTTATTGACGAAAAACGACAAAACAGATTTTTGCAAATTACTTGTG